AGGGGAGAGGGGCGCCCGTGGCAGCTCCCACCCCTAGGTGCTCTGCAGCCCTTTGGTGCTTGCGTCGGGTTGGGAGTAGAGGGAAAAAAAAAAGGCTGCAAATGGTGTTTTGGAGCATCAGCAGTGCCATGGCACGTTGCTCTCCTGGAGCTGCCCAGAGCCCAGGACATAACCAACCCTTTGCCTGTGGCTGCATCTCCCATCCTCTCCATGGATCCCTGGCTCCTTATTCTCTGGATAGCCCAGGTTTTGCAGAGCATGTCTGCTCAGCCTCAGCCCACCCCAAGATTGCTGATGGCTTTGAGCTTTGCAGCAGCTTTGGTCTTTAGGGCCACCAGCAATGCCTGGAGGAGCAAACAGCCCCAGGGCTCATCCCCAGCACCAATGTCAGCCCCGTGCAAACCCCGTGTCCTTGGGGCCCCACCTCACCTAATCCCATCTCAGTCCCTCACATTTGCAAGGCAGCAAGGGCTGGTGAGCAGCTCCCATCATAACCTGCCCCAAACATCTCCCTCCCAGACACTGCCCCAGGCTCTGTGGCATCCAGCTGCGGGCAGGGTGACCCTTCCCTGCGTCCTTCCTCCACCTCTACAAGAGCCTGTGAGCAGAGATGGGGCAGAAATCCCTCCTGTACCCCACTCCCAGAGCAAGCAGGGACCAGTGCCAAACATCTGGGGGGCTCAGGCGTGCTGGGCAGCGAGCCCAGGGGTGGCCTGGACAGGGATGTACCCGCAGTTTTGCCCACACCAGCCGCCCACGCAGCCGGGGGAGAGGTTTGCACACAGAGGTTGTGCTTGGGGCGCTGTCGCAAGCAGGAAGCGCTGCGGTCTCGTCGCCAGGCGCCCAAATTTGAGGGCCTGAGGGAAGTTGGCTTGGAGGCAGCTCTGCCCTTGAGCCACCAGCACCCCTAAGGGCGAGGGATGGGGGGAATAAGGGAACACCCTGGTGCCACCATCCTGCGCTCAGCCTCCAGGCTGGACGGGCGCTGAGGTGTCCCCGGGGTGCAGGAGCATCTGCCTCCCTCTGTCCTGCCCGTGGTGAGCTGGGGACATCACCCGCTGGAGATGGCGATAACGGAATTCTGGCAGCCACCCCCATGTATTTATTTATTGATGTTAAACTGGGACTGTCCACGGTGACTTTGCCACGGGCTGAGCCGGCACTGACCTGTGCCCCGCTCGGCCCTGGCACTCAGCCCGGGGGCACTGAGGCAGGAAACACCTTTGCTGGAGGGCAGAGACGTTGCACAAGGAGCCTCCGGGTGCTGGGCAGGGCAGGGTGCTGGGGAGGAGCTGGCATGGGGGTGTTGGTGCCCACAGAGGAGATTCAGTTGGCAGGGCCAGTTGGGGGT